ATCTGGGTTTCCACGGTAGGATATAAAGGTGCATTTTTAAAATCAATATATTTTGTTGGAAAAGAATGGGGAGGAGGTTTGGGGGGGGGCGGGAAATGATGGAGCGAAGGAGGGAAGCCCGGAGTCTGGGAAAGACTCGGGTAATAGATTTCTCAGCCTGCTCCTGGGCCCCGTAATTAATCCTGAGGGGCTCATTAAGTTCCGGCTTCCGCTCCAGCCACTCAGCGGCCTCCCTCCCGGTCTCCCCTCTCCCCCAGGGAGGCCCAGCCTGGCCTGCCCCTGCCAGGGCCTCTCTCCTGCGGTGCTGCTGGGCCCCCAGATCCCTGGGCTTAATCATGGAGAATTAAGGTTCAATCAGAAGCCTTTACGGCCGCGGGGAGGGGAGGCTGTGCGAGGAGGGGAGGCTGCGCAGAGGCAGGGCCTCCCAGGTGCCGCAGAACCCGGAATAGGGCGAGGCAAGCGAGGCAGGGTGGAGCCGGTGCGGGGTGAGTGCCTGTCAATACTTAGCACTTTGATACTTTGTTCATTGTAGATGTTTTTGCTTTCATTGGGAGTAGTTTTTACTTTTTATCTCTTCATTGTGCTTTTTATATGTGCTATCAAAATAGTACTTATCCAGACGGCTGACTTTGGCGTCACCTCTTAACTTGTGCTCTGGAGAGTCCGTGGTGCCTCTCTGGCCTCACCGTATCCGGGTCCTGATAGCTGCGGGGAGGCTGGAGCTCCTAAGTAAGCATCCTGAGGCCAGAAGCTGTCAGAGGACGGATGGTCTATTACTGGACTGATTTATTTATTTATTTTTTTAACTTTTTAAATCTTTATTTATTTATTTTTAAATGTTTTTATTTTTTTTTTTTATTTTTGAAGGAGAGAGAGAGCATGAGCGGGGAAGGAGCAGAGAGAGAGGGAGACACAGAATTTGAAGCAGGCTCCAGGCTCTAAGCTGTCAGCACAGAGCCCGACGCGGGGCTCGAACTCACGCACCGTGAGATCACGACCCGGGCTGAAGTCAGCCACTTAACCAACTGAGCCACCCAGGGGCCCCTGGACTGATTTTATAGCTGGGAAAAAGGCCCAGAAGGGCAAGTCACGGGCCTCGGGTCACTTGCTAAAAGAACGCAGAGGCGGGATTTGAACCCTCGACGGCCTTCCGGGGCTCCCACCTTCTTTGGGATAAAAGCCCGAATCCTGTGGCCCCCAGGGCCCCCGCAGGACCTACCTCCAAGGGCAACGAGATCAAAGGAGGTCGGGGACCTGACTCGGGTGCTTACGGCCGCCCCCTAGTGGCTGCTTCCGGGAAGAGGACCCCACCTTGTACGGGTGGGGGAGGAGGGAACCCGAGCAGAGGGGACCGCGCTGGTCCACGCAGGCGATGGAACCGCACTCCCTGATCCCATACTGTCCAGTGTGGGAGCCACTGGCCTTTCAAATGTGACTAGTGCAAATCGACATGTTCTCCAAGCACAAAACACACATCAGGTGCTAAAGACTTGGTGGGAAAAGAATGTTAAGATAGGTCATTAACAATTGTTTATATCGATTGCATGTTAAACTGACGTTTTGGCTGTATTGAGTTAAAGAAAACAGATCAAAATTGGGGCGCCCGGGTGGCTCAGTCAGTTAAGCGTCCGACTTGGGCTTAGGTCATGATCTCACGGTCTGTGAGTTCGAGCCCCACGTCGGGCTCTGTGCTGACAGCTCAGGGCCTGGAGCCCGCTTCCGATTCTGTGTCTCCCTCTTTCTCTGGCCCTCCCCCCTCTCAAAAGTAAATAATAAAATTTTTTTTAAAAAAGATATCAAAATTCATTTCACCTATTTCTTTTCACTTCTCCCTCTTTCTCTGGCCCTCCCCCCTCTCAAAAGTAAATAATAAAATTTTTTTTTTAAAAAGATATCAAAATTCATTTCACCTGTTTCTTTTCACTTTTTTTTTCCTCTTGTGGCTACCGGAAAGTTTAAAAACATTTGTTGTGGTTTATTGATTTTTGAGAGACAACAGAGAGAAAGCATGAGCGGGAGAGGGGCAGAGAGAGAGGGAGACACAGAATCCCAAGCAGGCTCCAAGCTGTCACCACAGAGCCCGACGCAGGGCTCGAACCCTGAACCGTGAGATCATGACCTGAGCCGCAGCCGGACCCTCAACCGACTGAGCCACCCAGGCGCCCCTACCAGAAAGCTTTAAATTACATCCGTGGCTTCCATGATCTTTCTACCATTTAAATGCCTTTCTATTAGGCATTTATTCTAATGCAGGGGCCTTTTCACTCACTGCCCACCAGGGGACGCTGTGTCCTTGCAGTGGGGTGGGGCAATCTGGAATCTAAAGGAAAAGGAAGTAGTAACTCAGACAGTTGCTCCTTTGTGGTTGTTGCCTTGGATCAGTTCTTACAACCCAGATCTATGTTCGCCATCTGCCATGGCTCACCATCTAAGGGGGCGCAGAGCCACCTGTGGGTAAGGATTCTGCCTCCCACCCTGACTCCGGTTTATTCGGCCAGGGTCAGGGGGAAGAATTAGGCCTCCAGAGTCAACTCACAGATCCTGTAGCATTTATTGTAGAACCACTGCGTGCTCCGCTCTGTTAAGGTGATTCCTGCAACGAATCCTAAGCAAACTGAGGTTCAGAGAGGGAAAGCGGGTTGCCCAAAACAGCCCCGCAGAGCCAGGCTTTGCACCCAGCTCCTTCTGGCCCCAGTGTCTTCCGGGCCTCTCCCCTCAGCCAGCTGCCTCTCAACCTCTTAGAAACTCCTGAGAAATGTTGGGCAGGCATGATGGCGAGGGCACACTATCTGTCCACATCGGGCCAGCTCAGCGGGGCGGTCAGTAATTAATTCTGAATTGTTCCCATTTATCACAGTGGCAGGAGCCGGAGCGCATGGAATCCTAATCCCAAGCCTCTGTGCCCCTTGGCCAGCTGGAGCCGGACACAGTGCTGTCGGCAGGGGTCCCTCACTGAGCCTGGGAAGGGAGGGTGTTCCCGGCTCCCCACTCCCTTACTAAATGCTGTGAAATCCAGCCGTGACCAGATGAGACCCCATCCCAGCCTTTGCAGCATCACAGGCTCGTGGGAAAAATACATACTGCATAAGTAATAATGTAAATAATTAATGCGACAAAGGAAAGAAACAGGATGGTGTGAGAATGCGAAACTGGGGGGACGTGACTTGTTTAGGGCCTCCTCAAGGAAGTGACATTGAGCCTGCAAGTCGGAAGATGAAAGGCGGTGAGAGGGGGGCTGCGTACACAGGAACAGCACATGCAAAGGCCCTGTGGCTAGGAAGAGTTTCTCCCACGTGGGACCCAGCAACAGCAAGAGGCTGAGTGGGTCTGGAGGTCAGAGCACAGGGGTGAGGTCAGTGCCAAGTCGGGAGCCCTGTAGAGCCAGGTCTGGAGCCCTCAGGGTGAGGCCAGCAGCCTGCAGTGGGTACCAGGGGCCATCAGGAGAAGGGACAGGCAAGTTTCTCTCACATTCTTGGGGGCTGGCAGTAAGGCTGCTTCCACGCCAGGTGAGTCAGATGGTAGGCTGGGCAGCTGAGTCTGCTATTGTTTTGTTTCTTCTTACAACTGTTTCCCCCTTGGAGGATCCTTTCAAGCCCGGTTGGGGGTGGGGGTGAGTCAGGATTTCTCTGCCAACAAACAGCCGATACCACAGGAGCAGCTCCTGGCCCAGGCACTCCTTCCCCGGGCAGGTGGGGAAACAGGCCCGGAGTAGGCCAAGGATCCCCAAGGTCTTTCGGTGGAGGACCGTGGGCTTAGCCCAGAGGTGGGGGGTTCTGGGGTCCCAGGAGCGGACTCCTCCCCGTAGCTTCGTGGGTCTTCTGCTGGCCCTGCAGTCTCATGAGAGCCAACAGGTGGTGTTTGGGCCACCACGCCGTCCCCAGCGTGCTGACGATCGGAGGTGTTCAGTCAGTGACTGCGTTCACCAGCCCAACAGCTTTGGAAAACGCCCCCGAGGTCATGCTCAGGGCATGAGGGAGGTTCCTTTCGGATAGGGGGCGTGAGAGACAGAGAGAGATAAGCAGCCAGAGATGTGGGGAGAAAGAGAGGCAGAGAGACAAAGATAGAGACGAACGGAGAGACCCAGATAGAGATCTTGGAGGGAGGCAGAGATAAAGAGACACAGTGGGGGGGAAAAAAAGAGAAAAGAGAAAAAGAAAAAAAGAGAAAAAAAAAAAGAGAAAAAAGCAGTGAAATGAGACACAGAGACGGATGGATGGATGGATGGAAAGTGTGTGTGTGTATCAGGACCACCACTCACCTGAATAGGAGACATTGTGTGAATTGTAAAAAAGTATCCCCTTCCTGGGGCCCTCTCACCCCTCAGCTGGGTGCTTTTGTGCAGTGAACAACCTGTCCCGCCGTCTGTGGCAGCTGGAGCAGGGTCTGTCTTGGTCTCTCTAGCAGCCAGCACGGGGCCAGGCCCACGGAGTACGCTCAGTACGTGCCCGGTGAACAAAGGAACAGACTCAGCGAATGCCAAGACCTGGCTGGGCGTCGCGGAGGGAGTGGGGCCGAGAACCAGCTCCGGGAGTCTGCGCGCCAGCAGCTTCTGGCTGGGCAACTGATGCCTCCTCTGGGAACCGCCTGGATTTACTTGCCGCCCCGGAACCCACTTCCCGGCCTGGAACTCTGGGAGCACAAACCAAGCGGGCAGCCAGGGTGGGGAGGTGGCCCCGCCCCGGGACGCGCTGGGCCCCCTGCGGGAGGCGGTGGCTGCCAAGTCTCACTCGAAACTCCTTGCCGCCCAGACTTGCTCCTGGGGTGGAGCCGGGAGCCTGAGAGGCCCCGGAGCGGGGGTGGGGGGGAGGGACCAGGCCTCCCCTCTTTTCACAGCCCAGAGAGGGGTGACCCGGGCGACCTGGTTGGGGTCAGCCAGAATAGGAGTCGAGGGAAAAGGTGTTCCTGGGGAGGGCAGAGCTTGCACGGTCCTGGAGGGGAGGCCGAGACAGGCACTCCCGGGCAGAAGCCCCAAGACCAAGTTAGGGGACTTGAACTTGACCTTGTTTTCACGTGATCTTTTATTCATACACACGCCAAGAGGGCCCTTCTCTGCCCGGTCCCAACCTGCTGATGTGATCCCGGGGCCCCAGGCAGGATCTGTCAGGCTGGGAGGAGGGAGACACCCCCTAGTTCCACGCACGAAGCCCAGCCCAGTGGGATTGGAGGCTGCAGGACCCGGAGGCCGACCGGGAGCACGGCAGAGCGCGCACAGCGGTGGGGCATTCGCGCGAGGACCTTGAGCGTGTAGGAGCGTGCCAGGTGGAACAGACCAGAAAGGGCATTCTGGGCACAGAGTGTGCACATGCAAAGGTCTGGAGCCGCGTCATTCCCAGGCAGGTGCCAGAGCTGCGCCCGAGTGGGCAGTGACCCTACAGGCCTCAAGGGGTCAGGGCTGGACCAGAGAGAGACCTAGGGTAACAGAGGCCCAGAGGGAAACAGAGACTCTTCGTGGAGGATCAGAAATGACCGCACCAACAAGGGGGCGCTGTAGCTGGGCTTTGCAGGATGACTAGGAGTTTGCCAAACAGAGAAGGCAGGGCATGCCAGCTGGAGGGGGGCGGAATTCAAAGGCCATGCTGACGGAGTGAGGACCCGAGGGGTAGAATCGGGCGGTGCCAGGTTTCTCCAGATCCAAGGTCGCGGTGGCCACTCAAGGGCAAACCACACCGTAGGATGATTTCACGGAGCTCTGCCAGCCTTGCCAGGCCTGGAGCCTCCTCAGAGTCCTGCCGGCTCCAGCCACTGTCCCCTCTCCTTCCTGGGTCACAGGCTCTGTCCATTTTAGTCCGTGACGACATGCGGTGGGGGCACCGCTTTCTGCATGTGGCTCTGGGACCTCAGGCCGGGCTTGTGCCTCCCTGCAGCTCCGCTTCCCCATCTGGAACACGGGCACACGGGGAGCTGCTTCTGTGGCTCTCTGCGTTCGCCTCAGGACTGGGAGGCATCCAACAACCCAAGTGACGAAGGAAGAAAAGTGGGAACAGGAAGAAAGGGAAGGAGGGGGAGAGAGGGGAGACGGGAGGGGAGGAAGGGAGGAAGGGGGAAGGGAGAGGCTTTGAACCCCTCCCCCAGGCGACCGGCCACGGCCAGGTCCAGCATTACTATCTCAGAACACGCCTGAGCTGTCGAGGCTTAAGAAATGGGTGGTGATTTGCATGTGATTTGCATAGTGTTTGTTAAATGTCAAAACGGCCTGAAACGCTCCCTCCACCCCCCCCCACCCCCACCCCCGCCGCTTCCGCCGCCGCCCCCACCTTCAGTCAAGAAGCAGGAAACCCTCCCCTTCCTCCATCAGGGACCTCCGCCTGGGCTGGGACCCCTCCGTTCAGGGGCTGCTGGGGCAGCCGCCCCGAGAAGGATGACCTCGGACACCCCATCTGTAAAACGGGCCATAATCCCAGCCGCCACCACGCGGTGGTCCGTGTCCAGTAAGTCAAGGCCGGCCGAGGATGGGGCACCGACTGGGGCACGCAGTGGGGGCCGAGGAGTGGAGCTGGGTGGTCCCCAAGAGCCCCCTCCCTTCCTGTCCAGCTGGGGCCCAGCCTTCTACCCAGAGGGTCCCGTCCCCAGAGTTCCCACACCACGTCGCCTGGAATGCCCCCGTGATCACCACCTGTGCCTCATGGCTCTACGCGGCCCAGCACCCCCCAACCCCACCCATTCAACCAGGCCCCTTCAGACCCAACGGGGAGACCCCGTGTAAGGGACAAGGCAGTGGGATTCAGGGGAAGGAGGACACCGCCGAGGGAGTGGGCACCATTGCGGGGGTGAGAGGGCTGGGGTCCCCCCAGTCTCCACCAGTAGCCATTTGAGATTTCACCAGTAACTGGCTGCACCCTCGGGCCCCCACGCAAAGGCTGTTCGCAGTACAGGGGGCTTGGGGTGGGCCCCAAGGAGGACAAAGTGCTCACTGACTGGTGAGAAGGGAATCCGAGAAGACGTCCCGGAGGAGGCTGCAATCTCAGGTGAGCTGGAGTGGCCGAGAGGAGCACGAAAGGTGCTTCAGGCAGGGGGCACAGCTTGGGCAAAGGTGTGGCCGAGAGAACGTCCAAGGTGAAGGGATGACGTCCTCGCGCGCCTCGCCTCTCCCCTCTGTGCGTCTCTTCGGATCATACCCTCTGGCTGCACACGGGAGCCTTCCAAGATGGCACCGGGGGTCCCACTGCAGACTGCACACTGGAGGCCCCCAGCGGGGAGCCATGGCCTCGGGGTCACACAGGCTCCTCCCCGCTGCCTGGGCTGGAGTAGCAACATCCCAGGTGGGCGTCAGGGACGGGGCTCCCCCTGGGTGTGATCAGGTGTGTCTGGGGCAGCAGGCATCAGCTGGTCAGGCCGGGACGTCACAGCCCGGAACTTGCAACAGCAGCACGGAGGGAACAGAACAATTTCAATCCAGGCCCGTGGAAAGGTGAAACACCAGCTGTCTGGCCAGTTTTCCTTCTTCCCTTTCTCTAACATTCCTCGACTTGGCGGGTGACGCATGTAGCCATCTCCTTCTTCCCGCTGGCCCCGGTGCCTACTGGGAGGCGGGGAAACAGGCATGGCAGGAGCCTGGCTGTTTGGAGCCCCCTGGTGACCGTCTCAGGAATTGCAGGCAAAGTGCAATTCAACCGACCCTCTCCACCAGACCCCACTCTTGCCTCCTAAGAAGCCCAGCGTGGAGTGCTTTGCCCGAGGTCACACAGCAAGTCAGGGCAACATCATTCCTGCTAGCTAGGGGCAACAGATGTTGGTCTACCGGTAAGTGAGAGAGTAAGGCCCACGTCCTTACCCAGGGGGCAAAAATCATGAGGGTGTGCCGTGGGGTGATAGTCAACAGAAGTGAGTCTCTTCTCTCTGGGCCTCAGTTTCCACATCTGTGGTCTCTACACTCTACAGTGTCCTTTCTGTACTAGGGACAGAGGCATCTGGCCGGCTTAGTCGGTACAGAGACTCTTAATCTCAGAGTTGTGAGTTTGAGTCCCACATGGGGTGTAGAGGTTACTTAAGAAAAAAAAAATCTTTTGGACGCCTGGGCGGCTCGGTCAGTTAAGCGGCTGACTCTTGGTTTGGCTCAGGTCACGATCTCACGGTTTTGTGAGTTCGAGCCCCGCATCCGGCTCCGTGCTGACAGCGTGGAGCCTGCTAGGGATTCTCTCTCTCCCTCTTTCTCTGCCCCTCATGCTGTCTCTCTCAAAATAAAAGCAAACTTAAATAAATAAAAAAGCAAATCAATCTTTTTTTAAAAAAGAAACAGTACTGGAGATTTACCCAGAGTGAAGTCGGGGCTCCTGCCCCAGCCTGCTCCCTCAGCCGTCACCTCCAGTCCCCTTGGTCACGCCTCCACCTCCGCCAACTACCTGAAAGACGGGGACAGGAAGACACATGTGGCAGGCCAGATGCAGCCCTCATCTTGGCACTCACGGCCGTGATCTGCTCAACGTCCCGCCAACGCATCTTCAAGCACCCGCCCAGGACTCACCTCCCCCCCCCCACTTCCAGGCACTGCCAGGGCTCCGGGAAGATGTGCTAAGCAGCCCCTGAACAAATATTTGTTGAGGACCTACTATGTGCCGGGCACTGAACTGGGAACACGGCAGAGAGCAGGAGGGACAATAGAGTGTTCATCGAGTTTACAGCCTGGGGGAGGAGATGAGGTGAAAAAACTGATGCAACGTAAAGACGTCAGCTGCTGATAAGTGCTAGGGAGAGAGACAGAGCAGGGGTGGGGGGGTGGGCCCTATCAGCGGGATGCAATTTTAAACCGGGTCATCAGGGAAGACTGAACTGTGACGATACCCGAACTAAGGCCTGAAAGCACTGAGTAAGGGAGGCGGGCAGGTGGAAAGCATTCCAGGTGGATGGAACAGCCAGTGCAAAGGCCCGGAGGCAGGACCCTGCCTAGAGTGTTGGAAAAACAGTGAGTTGGCTCTCTCGTAGTTCAGTCTCCACCACTGCTTACCTGGACCTCTGCCCTGGTCCCCAGGTTTCTGCCCTCAACCCCCCCCCCCCCACCCAGTCTGTCCTCCCTGCAGTGGACACCAGAGGGCGCCTGAGTAGAGCCTCCTTTCCTCTGCCCACCGCCCTCCAGGGTTCCCATCTCCCTCACGGTAAAAACCCAAGTCCTCCATGAGGTCCCCCAAGGTCCTCCATGATCTGCCTCCACCCCTCCATGGCCACCCCTCCTCCCTCTCTCCCCCTCGCTCACTCTGCTTCAGTCACATAGGCCTCCTCGCTGTTCCTCCAACACACCAAGCCTGGTCCTGCCCCAGAGCCTTTGCACGAACTGTGCCCTCTGCCCAAACTTTTCTTTGCCTGCATATCCACTTGATTCCCTCCCTCACCTCCATCAAGACTTTACTCAAACTGTCACCTCCTCGGTGAAGCTGTCCCTACAACCCTGTTTAAAATGACAACCCACAGGGGGCACCTGGGTGGCTCCGTTGGTTAGGCACCAGACTTCAGCTCAGGTCACGGTCTCACAGTTCGTGGGTTTGAGCCCCACACGGAGCTCTGCACTGAGAGTGTGGAGCCTGCTTGGGATTCTCTCTTTCCCTCGCTCTCTGCCCCCCCCCCCCACCTGCACTTTCTCTTTCTCTCTGTCTCAAAAATAAATACACTTAAAAAATAAAATAAAAAAATA